TTTAATTCTTAATCGAAGTTAAATGTAGATGTCTGTGGGCAAGAGCACCCACTTACCATCAGGTGGATTGTGTGCGCGTTTGTCACCTTTATTCTATGAAAAAACTTAGGTTATAAATTGCTCTTATGACCATCCTCTCAATTTCAATGTCAGTCGCATTACACCATAGCAAGATTCCGTACGACATTATGCTATGGAAATAGCTAAAGTAAACTAGTCTGTCAGTTTCAACAATGTAAGGCTTCTAATCTTTATTACAGCGTATGCTGCAGAACTAAGATTGTTATTATTTATAAAAAAAATCTCATATTGGAAACATGTCCAACAACTGCTCGGTATTAACGAGGCTCTGACAGAATAACAGCACTGTTGCCGTGGCAACAATGCTACAGCATCATCATTGAGCTATTATGTACTGCTTACTGGAGGCGACACTGCATTCAGCTACTCTGTTCCACTCAATTGCGGTGCATACACCGCACTTTAATAAGTCACTCGCTAGGCGCTTGTAGAGTTGTCACGTGTTGTGTTGATTTTAAAAAAAACTCTTGATAAAAATATGCCGTCGTGTGTACTTTGATATTGCACAAATAATTCAAGAAATGTCAGTAAAAACTAAGGAATTACTTTTCATCGGTTAATAAGATACTAAATCAATAAAAACCTATTATGTATTAATAATAAAACAAATAATTCCTAAGACGCCATCTCGTGTCACGGAATATAGATTATGAAATTAATTTGTTCAGATGCGACATTTCTGTGGGTACTTAAGTATAGGACGAATATATTATTATACACATTTTTTTCTAGAAACATATATACTTAAGTTATAATAATTTGGCAAATTTTTCATGTTTAAATCTGCTTATTATTCTTTTATTTTATTTTTAGGTTTCCACATCAAAGTCAAAGTGGAATAAATTCGTCAATTTTTAACTCTCGCGTGTCTCGTGCCCAGCATTTATGAACGACTTTTATTCTAATTTAAATAAATATATTTGTAATTTAAATTTTATGTTAACAAGTTTTGTTAAACATACATTTAGTATGTTTTTGACTTTGATAGCTTTTAAAAATATTCAGATAAAATATCACTAAAATGTAATTATTATATAATATTATGTAATATTATATTAAATAAGCAAATATAGTATACAAAATAAATGAAAAAATTTAAATATTGTTCTAAATATAAATTACCTATTTAACAATACAATCTACTATTACCTATTGGTCATTCTACCTATGTTAATTCTATGATAAAAAACATCCGTGCGAACACATTTTTTGTTTGAGATAGCTGTTCTAGTACGTAAGTACATATTACTTCAATGAGCATCCTGCTGATTCGGATGTCATATCGCAGCTGCAACACCGGATATTTTGTGTATTTTTTTAATTTTTTATTTGCTTTTTAGTTGTATTTTCCTCATATTACGCATTATGCATTGTGTAACGAATAAATCATTGCTTCGTCCTTTGCAACCTAGTTTAGATTTAACGGTGAAAAATAAGATCTGATATTTTATATTATTTATATTTAAAAATAAAACTGCACTTACTAACCAGGCTGGTTACCTTCTCCTATGAGGCGAGGCATCTATGGGATGGTTTTTGTTGAGCAGTGAACTTAGCTGTAGTGTATGTTGTATGTGTGTAGTGAATTTGCTAATAATAAAAATGTATTTATGCCAATAGGAATACTAAATTACAATAAGATAGATCAGATAAAATCTACCAAAACAAAAATGAATAAGACACTTCTTCAACTAACGATAATCTACAATAAATACTCCTATACACGTATTAAAATTTTTGTGAGAGTTCAACTAATGTATTTAAACAATGATTATTGAATAATTTTGAGGCTGCTACCCGTCGCCGATGCATGCACTTTATGTTCTGCGTAAATGAAATAGTTTTACTACAGACTACAATTTATCGAAAGCCATAAGACGTTTGTTACTGCGATCGTCAAATAGCATGACAATTGTGACGATTAAGACAAATTTATCTGTGATGAGTACGACCCATGTCCAGCATTAATCACTTATGAAGATAAGAAGATAATTAACGTTGGTAAGAATTGACGGCTCCGTGGCGCAGTGGCTTAGCAATAAGTGGCTGCGCTGGGGGCTGCCGGTTCGAATCCTGCACGGAACAAGTTCTGTATCGCCTACAAGTAATTGTTCCGGGTCTGGCTGTTTGTTTCTGTGAAATTTGGGTTTGTAAACTGCCCCAACGATACAGGAGAAAATCCTAGTGTGGAGGTAACGTTTTTAAAAACAAAAAATATTACCTTGCACACATCCGCTCAATAAAATAAAATAAATGTGTCTTACCTAGTTTGAAGAGCACTTCCCGTCCTCCCTCAATTGCCTGCACTAATTACGTCACAACTAATCTTACCACCACTACACTAGGAAAGACACACCATTGATGATAATACGACAAATGTTTCACCTCTACACGAGGCATCCTCAGGTGAATGATGTAGACTCTACGGTGGCTGACCTCTAAGTGAGCGGTGAGCCAAAACAGCTGCTATTTATACAACTCGCCGACGCAACCACCCACTAAAGTAGCGAGTGACGGCGTCATGCGATAAAACGCGACGTACGCAGCTGTTTGCTGTAAAAAAAATTAACAACAAACTGCCGCAAAACGTCCGTTTACCCTCCAACCACTCAACCAATCACTGATCACTGTGAGGGTGATGAACGACAATATTACGAGGCTGTCTTTTATTAGAGTGCAGACTCAAAGATGTTTAATAGAGGTTAGTTAGGAATATTTATTTGTTCATTCAGCAGTTAAACGTTACCATTTTTATTTAATAGTCAACTGGGAAGAAACATGGCCAACTTGACTCAGTAAAAAGTCATTTGTTGAGTTAAGTTGGCCATGTTTCTCCCCTGCGCCTCGGAAAGCACGTTAAGTCGTTGACCCTGCGCCTGATTTCTCTACAGTCGTGTTGGATTGCCATCCCATCGGACTTTGTAAATAAGGGAATAGAGAGTGTACCTCTGCATGGGCATTAGGGTGGAGCGCCATTGTATGAAAAAACTTTTTTCTTATTTGAAATTCTAATAGCGCGGGATTAGTGCCTTACGCTTAAAATCAATTTACCTTTGTTTAGCTCCTCCTCTTTTTTAGACCTCAAAGTTTAGTACATATTAAACAAAAAATTTAGTATGTTTGGGATAAGATAAATAATAAAAGTTAACTAGAGATTATAAATGAAACTCAATAATATAATTAGAATACTTATATAGCATGTAATAAATTATATTATATTATTATAAAATACGTAGGTACTTATCTAGGTTCGTGAAATATAAAATAAAACATGTGCACATAATTTTTTATTTTTGGTAATGCTAAGTGTACAAGAATTCTGTTGCTAGTAGACTACTCTCATTATGGAAACCTTTGATTTCTCTTTATTATCAGGTGCTGAATTAATAAAAAACAGAAAACACCGAATATGATGTCTTGATAATCTGAAAATAAAAATATTTTTTATATTACGCATGTAAAGAAAAACTAAAGTTACAGACTTTATTACACCTCTCATGGCTCATCACAGAACTCCTCTCATGTAGAATAGAGTTTTAGGGATTGGAAACGTGTTTGGTCTTCGAAACTTTTTTTTTATTTCACAGTTTTCTTCACGATATTTCACTTTATCACCGAGTAACTGGTAATTCAGCATTTAAAATTCCAATTATCGATTTAAATACTGCGGGTAGTGATCGACTCCGGGTTGCTCGCGTACTGTGAAATTTACAGCGAGTGCTGAGCTTACACAGCTTCCTATTAGTCTTGTGTTGAAAGGTTTTTACGGTTACCGTTACAGCCTATTAAAGTTCACTGCTAAACATACACCTCCCTCATAGATTGCCTCATAGGGGGATACTTGCCATAGTTGCCACGCTGGGCAAGAGGGTTGGAAACCGCAGTTTTTTATTTTTTATTGTTTCTAGGAAGACGCCGCTGCCCACCTCCTGACTTGTTTCCCTCTATCGCTTCTTATTACACTCACGGGATGATATGGGGGATGGGTTCTTTGGAAAGGTTTTTACTGGGTTTTAATTTGAAATTCCAAAGATCGTGTGTGGATAATCTTTCTCTAAATGAGCAAGCACTTGATCGACTTTTTTAATATGAAGTATGATATTTAGGATATGACATAAATTTAATATGTTGACAAAATCAAATTATATTCGTTTCATTCTACGCTACCTTAACGAATCAGAAACTGTAGTGACAATAGACCGTCCATATAACTTGGAGTACCGACAACAGATAGGGAAAAAGTTTCTCGAATGGCAGCCTCTTACCAGTAAGCGAAGTGTAGGGCGAACCCCAATTAGATGGAGTGATGACTTGGTAGGTGATGTAGGAAGTCGATGGATGCTGATGGCATCCCTCACGGAAGACCTATATCCAGCAGACGAAGGAGATGATGATAACTCTACGCTAAGAAGGCGGTTTAATGGGTGGAGTTGCAACAACTTTACATAAGTGATTTTACTTTCCATTTTCTCCAGTGTATCTTCCGACACATGGCTAAGAACACTGCATGCAGGTGAATTTGGCGTGTCGAAACAGAATTGGTACATTATAGCATATATAATAGTGTCATATGTGTTATTAAGTAATAGCTTGACTTAACAAATCGCTATATTCTGTTAGCATAAAGTAGCTGCATAACGTAATACATCATCATTTTAGAGTCGCCAACGGGAAATCTAAGAAGAATGTTATAGCTTCCAATTGACTGTCACGTAACGGTCTTGTCTGGTAAAAAATATCCTTAACAGTATAAGGACTAGCGTCAAAGGTATGGGACGTCTGATGCGATCTTCTATTCGCTTTTCAAAATTCTAGTAAATCCTAAAACGGGGGACCAAAGATTAGCAGTGGACTTGTAACTAATGAAGAAAAATAGTAAAATATAATTATACTAATCTTAAAATTGTAAATAAGTGATTTTAGTACAAAGGTATACTTACGGATAAGAATGATGCGTATGATAATTCTATAATATTGTAAGCTTTGAGTACAACTGGTCGCTGAAAAATAAATTTACCAAAAAATTACAAAGCGAAAGATTTCTTTTCAAATTTGATTCCGATCATGTAAAATAACCTAAGTATTGATTACTTAAATTTTTCTAACTCTACTTCATTTGTAATTAGAAGTCGTTGAAATATAAATATACACTTTTGCAAAAAATCGGCAAAATCTTTTAACCAATCTTAGATAAAGATATTTCGTCACATAAAGGACATGGGGGATTTTGTATGTACCCCGTTCCCACCCTACAACAGTGATGGGATATACCTACGTGTCAATTTGTTCATTGGGTCCCAAAAAAGCCTAAAGTACCTGTGGTAGTTGCAAAAACTATTGGGTTTATTTATAATAAAATAAATCTTTTTGGCAAAATATATTTATTTTTAAACAAAAATAATTTTTTTCACAAACAAAAAAGCATATTTCACAAAAAACAAAGACGATTCTATATTAAAATAATTACTTGGTTCTCAAACTTAAAATCACTGAGTAATAATGCTTAAATAATATATGTACCTATTAACTCTTTATTACAGCCAAAAGCATGTCAGACGATACACTAATAGCTTAGGTTAAGCTCTGATTTATACTGCGTGCCATAGACAACAAGGCTAGTCTAAAGTGTCAAGCTTGACATGCTCTTTACTGTACTACTAATTACATTAAGTCATCTACTACTAAATTATCAAGCATTTGTGTGGCAATCAACTTTAATGTACCAGGCATTAAAGTTGATTGCCATTGCGATTCCCTGTAAGGCAAGTGTAGTACCAAGGAGCAATAGCATGTCTGTCAACTGAATCCCAGTCAATAAAAATACAACAATAATATATATAAATACGTGAACGGACATGGCGCGACGGAGTCTGTACTCTGACTAGCCAAACATTATTTAGCAACATATTGCAACGGACAAGCTCAAACCTGCACCTTCATATGCAACGCTATCATTGTATTACTATTTTTTACTGTGCAATGTAATTGTAATTGTTGTGTTAGTAAAAATATATTCATTAAAACTATATATTTTATAAAACCTAAAATCCCACATATTTGAAGTACGTTGCCATAGTAAAAAATATGTATCCTACTAGACGCTTCAAATGACACTTATTTCAAATCTGTTGGATGATGGGCACGTTTCTTCTCATTGCCATTTATAGAATAAAAATAAATTAATTGCTAACTTGTTTTTAAATTATTTATTTTTTTTAAATTTTTACTTTTAAAAAATAATTAATTTAAAAACAAGCTTTGAAATAAATCAAACCCATCAATTTATTACATTAGACAATTTATATGATATAAACGCTTGTCGGGTGATCTGCCTATTTTACAAAACACATAATTTTTTACTTGTATACTGTATAACTCAATGGGTCTGATTTACTTTAAAGTTTATTTTCTTCGTTTTAGAGCATTTAATGAAAGCTTCTTTAAAAAAAATTTACTTTTAATTTATATTTTTTTTAGTTATCGCTAGACATGTTTCTAACTTTGTGTCATTGTCGGTTTTTGATCGCCATCTTAAATCTGCTATTTTGAAATTTTTTTCGCGAGAAGTTGACCCATGTTGGTTCTTACAACATTTGTTCGAGCACCACCAAACTACTTCTAACTTTTGTAGAGTTAATAAGTCTTTAAAAATGATGTTGTAGACATCTTGTTTTCCGCAATTTTGATTTTTCCACCACTGTTAGAATTTTCCCGGGGTCGATATTAATGAAGACTTGAATCCGCTTAGTCTTACCGTTTAGCCGAGCAGTAGTACATTATCTCTTTAAAGAGCTGAACGCCAACGTCATTTTATTCGTATTCTTCTCAACGAACAAAAGGTCCATTTAGTTAATCATTTTAATTCATATGTTCACTTGATATCCACATCATGAGGGTAAATATAAAACATAGTACGCCATCTTTGTGAGTCCACTATATTGGATTAAGAGTAATGTAATTTTATTTTTCGTACTCTTCCCAATAAACCCTTTCATATAATACCCATAGTATGAGAGTGTATAAACAATAACTGGTCAGCACACACCACATTGGATTTAGAATGACGTCACCTACCAAAGCGTACTTTTAAAATTCCGTTGAAAAATTTGACCTGAACAATTTGACCCCAAAATCGTAATTCGGTATTCCAAAAATCCTGGGATAACGAAATTACATTCGAATTGGAGGAACTAAGTTTTGATCGCCAACTTAGATCTTTTTCAAGTGCCAACAATTGACGCTGTTGTTCCCTACAACTTTTGTCGGAGAACCAGCAAACTATAACTTACCTTTGCGAGTTATATATGTTTAAAATTGGTATGGCGGCCAATTTGTTTTCCACCTTTTCAGCCATGGCCACATTCTAGCTCCATCATCAAACCTATTCAAGTCATAATAATATTGCATGTCATATTAGACGTCCGCCGTATTGAATTTAGAACGACGTCGTGATTTTAATTCCCATATAGGGTTTACTATGGAATTTATAAATCACCATTTTGTGACGTCCACCGTATAATATTTATAACTATGTTAGTTTACTTACTGTGTTTCACTCATCAAGTCCTTTCATTGGGTACCCATATCGTAGGGGTTGCTGTGGAAAAGATAAATCGCTACCATGTAACGTCCACCATATTGGATTAAAAATGGCGGTTTTAAAGAAATCGTGCATTTTGTCAAGAACCAAAGTAGAACGGTCAAGTAGTTCAGAGTTCAGTAGAAGTTGGTTAAATATTAACGGAAAAATTCCAGGACATACATACAAGTGTAGATAAATAAAATCTTTTAATAATGATAATTATATAAAAAAAATTAAATAGAAAACCTTTATTCAACCCACCTGTCCTTGAGTCATTGCCAACAACAGAAGCTTCCTAACTCTTTTGTTACTTTCTCCACGACAATTTTGCCAGCCAGAGCTGTACATGGCTGCCGGTAACAGTGCTGCCTGCAAGCAGTGATTCATAAACTATCTCGTAACTAACACACAGTCCTGATAATAATCGGTTGAACCTATCTACACTCAAAAAGTAATTGTCAATACACACTGGTGGGTTCATATCTAATGGGCCACAAAAGAAATTATAAATGCGGGACTCGAAGTCAGAATTTTGAAAAAATATGCGGCTCGAGAAAAAATTCAGAAATGGTATGCGATGTGTGGCCCATGAGGCGACCACGCGGTGGGGTTATTAATTACTCCCGTAAGATAGCTCAGGCCCCTTGTAGAGGCCGATTCAATTTAAATGAATAAGTTGGAAGGACCAACGGGTAAACTTACTGCCGGAATACATGATCAGATTAGTCAAAGTAAGTTGCCCGACGATTTGCCTACCTCCTTCTTACCTCACTTCGCGGATCGTTCAGTGATTTGTGCAACTTGTCTTTGGTAAAAAAATCTAGGTTATTTTCTCGTGCGTAGGAAATAAAGTTGTGTTTGTGCGTAAGTTAAATAAGATTGATGGTGAAATGGTTAATTTTTTTAAAATAAGATATCAAATAATTATATTGTACTCGTATTATTGTCTTTTTTAGTTTTCGGTATTTTTTTAAATCAAAATGTAGTGAATAATGAACTTACAGTCTAAGTGACTACAGCGGATCAAAACATGATCCTGAAGCCAACTTCAAATAAAATGTGAAGCAGACGGGCTGTCATCTCTAAGAAATAATAACTAAGATAGAATTAATACCTCGTAGCCTATTTTTATACTGACTGTTGTACCCTTCAGCAGACTCTACACGTCGTCTAGTGCAAGAAATAGCACGAGCGACAGGAATAAGTAACAGGGTGGTTAACCCAGACGGACTTCAAGGTAGAAAAGGATCAACTAGTGAAATAAATTTCTTGTCTCAAAATATCCTTTTCATTCATTATAGTCAATCAAAAGATCAATCTTAAGCCGTAGGCATCCGTTATAGATTGCCTCACAGGTGTTGTATTTGTAAAGTTGCTACGCTTGGAGCGATATTTGGCATTTGGATTTGCGGGTGGTCAACCGTAGTTCTTTCATTATGAGTTCTTATCAGGAAGGATGATGATGTTACTGCCCAGCTTCTTCAGTCGTTTCATTTTCTTAAGTCGCCGGGAGATTCATAAATCATATTTGTTAATATTTTGTTAAGTTAAACAGTTTTTTATATTTAAAACTTTTTTTAATCAAGAATTTGCACTTTATAATGAAAGAACTTTTTCGGTAACATTTTTGAAACAGTGAATTTTTGCTTTAGATATACAAAAAGACAAGACAGATCATAAGCTAAATTTTACGTCAGTATGTCTTCTTTTATAAAGATTATTTATTTACTTAATTATTTATGTACATGTGGTGGACTTAATTCCTTAACCCCTTACCACATACTTACTACGGAAAAACTTAATCTTTAATAATACTTTAAATTAGAAAAAGTATATTTGTCGTTATTTAGAACGTAAATCATTTGTTCATGTTCATTGACAATTTTCAACTATATTTGAGATAGCCGGTGATATAAATTATATATATATATATATATATATATATATATATATATATATATATATATATATATATATACAAAATAAGTGCAAGTTTTTTTAAATAAAATACTAAACGGTAAATAAAAGTGGTAAAAAGTATTAAAAAAAATCAAATATATGGTTCATACCCTCTGAAATAAGAAACTCGATGTTTTATTTTAATGCCTAGCTTTATTCTCATAATTATTTTCTTTTTTTCTATCTGCCATATTTGGCTTCCTGTGCGTTACTGTAAAAACACAACTGTCATATTTGGATTGAACCTAACTTTCTCTATTCTCTCTATTCCCAACCTCAAAAAAGACATATTCCTGATCTGGATGGAGATGGCTTTCAATCAAAAGGTAACTCAGAATTACCGGACATAATGCAGCTAGACACACCAGCAGAGTTCTTTAATTTTTTATTTAGACTATCCCTCCCATTAACTTGCCTAATTCTCCATTACCTGCAAAAAACCTTGGAAGACTTTTGCCTGACATCAAGAGCTTCCTTTGATTTCAGCACATATAGATGTAATTATTTTCCCATTTGAGAGAAAAATACCCAACAGATAAAATTTATTACTAAATTCATCATTCAGAATATAGCCATATTCTGAATGATGAAGTTTTGAGTTTAAAGAGATGGAAGGAATATTTTGAAAGCGTGTTTACGAGTGAGGAGACAACGTGTGTACAAAGTGAAGTAGAAACTCCGAAAGAAGAGGAAAGAGGTAGCGAGATAAGTGTAGATAAAATAATGAAAGAAATGAAAAGCATGAAAGCAGGTAAGGCTGCCGGAAGTTGCCGAAGAGTTTCACTCGAAATGCTAAGGGTTGGAGAGGAAGTGGTGGTAGGCCTGCTGCACACCTTGTTTAATTTATGCTGGGAACTGAAGCGGGTACCGGTAGACTGGTGTAAAGCCGTGATAGTCCCAGTATATAAAGGAAAAGGGTCGCAGCAGGACTGTAAAAACTACCGTGGCATCAGCCTTCTTAGCATTGTGGGAAAACTGTATGCTAAGGTACTGATTGAAAGGGTCATGAAAGAAACTGACAGAAAAATTTGGGATGTGCAAGCGGGATTTAGAAATGGAATGGGGTGTACAGATCAAGTCTTTTCCATGCGCATGATCGCGGAGAAGTTTTTGGCCAAAAACCAAAAGGTTTTTTGTGCGTTCATGGACTTGGAAAAAGCCTATGACAGAGTGGATAGGGATGTGCTATGGCAAACACTGAACAAATTTGGGTTGAGCGCTGGCTTGATACAGGCATTGGAGTCTCTTTATAGGGACTCGAGTGCTTGTGTTAGGATCAACGGGGTCTACTCGGACTGGTTTGACATCCATAAAGGTGTCAGAGAGGGCTGTGTGGCTTCCCCGTGGCTGTTCAACCGTGTATTTATGGACAGTTGTTGGCAAAATTAGAAAGTTGAAAAATGCGGATTAGGAATGGGTAAGTTAACCGTCAAATGCCTTTTGTACGCCGATGATAAAGTTATTCTTGCGTCGTTGGCGGCCGAGTTGCAAATAATGGTTACATTAATGAACAGATCATTAAAAGAAAGGGGTATGAAAGTGAACGCAAGTAAGAAGAAGGTTATGGTTTTTAAAAGAGAAGAAAGTAAAACGATTTGTGAAATAAGAATAGAAGGGGAGTTGATCGAGCAAGTAGATGAGTTTTTATATTTGGGCTGCGTATTTAGCAGGGATGGGAGATATGATAAGGATATAGAACGACGAGTGAATGCGGGAAATAGAGTAAATGGAGCCCTGCACTCTATTGCGAAGAGTCAAAATGTGTCGAAAAAGGCACGTATGGCAATTCATAATGTTGTGTCGGTCCCTACTTTAACGTATGGTAGTGAAAGTTGGGTGTGGCAGAAGAAGCACGAGAGTAGAATGAACGCAGTAGAAATGCGGTCGTTAAGGACTATGTTAGGGCTGAATCTGAATGACAAGGTAAGAAATTGTGTAATAAGAGAAGAGTGTGGTTTGCAAGATGATGTTGTAACCAGGATTAAGAAAGGAATGCTTCGGTGGTGTGATCTATGTTATTCTTAGTGATATTAACGAGTTTTTTTTCTATTAGACTTTAATTTTGGGAAGATTGTCACAAGAATTAAAACCAATAGCTGCGCTAGTACCGTAAAAATATCAAATTTAATAGACCTAAGGATAGACCCCTGTCATTTATTCATAGACAAAAATCATCCATTTTTAGGAGCAACGCCTGACAGTTTTATAGAAAGTAACACCCTGTTTGAAATCACATGTAAGTAATTGCATACGAGGTCAGTATTGAAGAAGTCATAATACAAGAAAAAATGCATTTCTGGCGGGTAAATAAAAAAGTGGTGTGATCCAGGTGAACAAAAATTCTGATTGGTACTTGCAAGTTCAAAGACAGGTGCATATTTCCGAAATATCTAAATGCTTATTGGAAGTATGGTATAGACGTAATTAAATCAAAGTGGAAACAATAGTAAAGGATGACGAATTTTGGAAGGATAAAATGGAGAAAAATTACTTTAATTTTATTTTCACTGCTTGCTACCGGAATTGGTAGAACCGCGACTTACTCATAATAAACAAATTCGGGATCCAAATAATCTAACAAAAAAGAAAAACAAAGAAAATGTGCACAATGGCCCTAAAAAAGAAGAGGAATAATATATCATTAAAAACGTAGTTACAAATTCTGTTATACAATATAATCAGTTTTAAAAATTATGACTTAGTTATTATTTCAATAAATAAAAAATATAAGCTTTGTTGATTTCTCTTTTGATAAACTAACAAGACGACAACAACAATGACATATACAGTTACATTTTATTATACAACAAGACAATAAATGATGCAAAATATTAAAAACATTAAAAATAATAGTGTGTCGCGACTCTGACGCTTGCTTGTTCCTTTCTGTATATCGCACGTTAGCCTCCCATTGAGCATTTGGCGCGAGTTTGAAATTTTAGGAACCGAGTGGCGAGTGTCGCAAGCGGGGCGCGGGGTGGAATGGGCGGAGCCATTTTGAGCGTTTATTTTCGATGTGTCGTCTACACTGATTCGTAAAAAAATATTCCATCTCTAATAATACGTGCCGTAAGGGGTTAAGGCATAAACAGTAGTGGAAAAAAGGTAATGAAGTATGGCTAAGTATGTATAAGTATAAAACTAACTTCAATAGTTATGTCGCCAGCACTACACATGAGTACACCGGTTGTGCCCAGTACTGCAGAGGCCGTGCTCACTATACCTAAGGCATTGATTAATGTCCGCTCACTTGCCTGTAAACGTTATAAAAGTCTAAAATGTCTTTTATATTTGTTAGTTAGTCTAAATAAAGAAAATCTTCAATAAGGGTGACAAGCCAGAACACAGTTCTCTTCTATTCCCAACAAAGAATGGAAACGAAGGTGCGTTGTCACCCAGAGCATTAAGATGGAATACCACATTTCCAGTAACAATGGTCTTTAATATATAATTTAATATATATATATATATATATATATATATATATATATATATATATATATATATATATATATATATATAATATATATATATTGATAAATTATAGATACAAAATTATGCAGTAGCCCGTGTGGCAGCGGGTTAAGCGAATCCATTACTCCATTTCGCCCTAAGGAATTTGTAAGAGGCGACTATACAGAAAATTGTAATAGCTTCCTAGAGATGGAGGTATTATTATCTTATTTAAGTCATGTGTAAAAAACTAATAAAAGCAACAGACATCAGCATCTATGAGAGAAAAATCTGATACTTTGACCTTCAATCCGCTTAAAAAGCGTGATGAAAGGAAATCCTCCGCTTCAGCCGGCCTTTAAGGTATAATGAAAATGAAGATGCAAAAACTAGATTCACGTAAATCTTACCATATTTTATTAAAATTAGTATTCATCATCATCATTAAAGCCCCTTCACAAGTCTACTGCTGAGCGCACGGTCCTGAGCCACCTGCATCCAATGAGTTCCTGCATGTCTTGCTAGGTCGTCACTTCATCCAGAAAGGGGTTACTTTACACTTCGCCTACCGTTATGTTACCTTAAATTCGTTTTGTTCATTATTATTTATTCTACTTAAAGTACTGTGAGCTCGTTTGTCATTCCTTTTCTATAAATAAATTAAGATAAGCTCTGAATAGTTATTTTTTTTAATCAAAGGGTATTAGTACAGTAATAAGAAAAGGTCTTTATGCCTAAATACTCAAACTCGACTCAATTTTAAGATGTCGTTTAGTCTCCGTCACTTTGAGTCAAAGTCACTGTAACACAACGAAACTTAACAATGGGTGCGTTTGGCAGAAAAAAGCGCTAGCAAGCGCTTGTAAGCAAAATAGCGAAACTAAACAGTTTTCGGCCAGGACACGTTTGCTAACTTCAGCACAATCCGCTATTTTGCTTATTTAATTTGTTTGTTTTGAAGTAGAGTTTATAAGTTGTTTTGTGCAATATTAATTTTAAGTAATATAATGACATGAATAAACATATACGTGTTATTAAAAATTTATGATTAGTAAGTTTTTAAAATGAATACTTTACAAACATATATTTAAATTAGGTTAGGTTCCCCGATTAAAACTAACTTCGTGTCCTAGAGGAAAATAGCTACTTACGATTTGGCAGCGCTTACCGCTTACGATCGCCATTTTGCCTACAAGCGCTTGCAAGCGCTTTTTTATGTCAAACGCGGGCAATATCTTAAAATTGAGTAGCGTTTGAGCATTTCGTCATTAGACAATCAGGGTATTCACGACTTATTCTGCCACCAGGGCGGCGTCACATTGAAATGAGGTGAAATATTTGACAGATTTCATATTGAGAAAAGGTAATTCCTTAGAAAAGTGTAGGAAAAATGGTTCTTTCCGAAATTTTGGTTATATTTTATATCAACTAAATTAGAAATCAATAAACTATACCACTAATATTCCTAAGGGTAAAAGAATTAAAAAAGTGCCCTTAACTGATGTGCATGTATATGAATGTGGAGGAAGCGAGAGAGTTGTGTCGGAATCGTGCCATATGGAAGTCTGTAGTCTCTGCCTACCCCTCTGTGTGACAGGCGTGAGTGTTTATGTAATGTTTTATGTTATATTTCACTCTTTTTAAATTTTCTACTTTTATAAATATGGGTTTGATTTATTTATTTTTAATGTAATTAATATAAAACAATTAATATTACAGTACGAAACATTAATCTTCACATTTTTTTAACAAATGAACTTATCCGTTATGAAATCTGTCGAATATTACACCTCATTTTAAGTGGTGCCACTCCAGTGGCGGACAAATATATGAATGCCCTTATTGTGTAACAAATATTTACCTTAGTCCCAAATAGCGACATCTGATGAGCGTAAGATTATTAGCTTTTATTAAAACTTAATTCTTTATCTACCCTATTTGCCATGCCTCCCCCATTGATCAGCCCTTATTAAAACCAAATACTTTATTTGTTTCATTCACTACAGCCTATCAAATTCTACTGCTACACATAGGCCTCCCCCACAGATTAGCCCTTATTAAAACCAAATACTTTATTTGTTTCATGCACTACAACCTATCAAATTCTACTGCTACACATAGGCCTCCCCACAGATTAGCCCTTATTAAAACCAAATACTTTATTTGTTTCATGCACTACAACCTATCAAATTCTACTGCTACACATAGGCCTCCCCCACAGATAAGCCCTCATTAAATTCAAATACTTTATTTGTTTCATGAACTCCAGCTTATCAAATTCTATTGCTGTACATAGGCCTCCCCCATGGATTAACTTATGGAAGTTATATTCTCCGTAGTCGCCACGTTCCGTAGGTGAGTCTGCAACTGCGTTATTGAGCTATTTTGAGCCGTTATCAGAGAGATGCTGCTGCTTATCTCCTGTTTCAGTTTCTCTTTGACTTTTATTACGACACAAACGGGAATAAGATAATCAATAAATATTGAGTGTGTGCCGCGACTACGCGTTATGTACGGAACTAAATGAGTTATATGGGTAAGGTATTGATTATGAACATATTTAATTATTTTCAAATTTTATAAATACATCGGTAATACAACTTACCATCATCTGCATCATAATCGTCATAAGTGCTATGAAATTTATCGTTATTTGAGCAGTATACGCTGGACCGAATATCTCTTGAACAACCTGAGTGCATCTAAAAATAAACAGCATGTACAATACATAGAATAACGCATGTTATATTTACTGGACACATTCTTAACGCGATACCCTAATTGTTTTTCTAAAATAAAAGTAGCCTAAGTTACTCTTTAAAACATCTCTCGCTAATATCGGTTCAGCCGTTTTGGAGATTAGCTGGAAGAAACAGACAGACAGGACAGACAAAAGTTTAAAAAATTGTGTTTTGTTATAAGTACCGTTTATATTTTCATATGAATTTAGTAAAAACTATTAATTTGAAATCACAAACAGACACCTCAGTTTTATTTATTTGTAAAAATTATGTCTGAAATAAAGATAAGTAACAATAAAAATTCCGCGGGAGATTCGTTTTTTTAATCTAATTAAAATACGAGACATTCCATTCAGAGATGAAAAAAGATTTACTTTTTACCGTAGCCGTTAACCGTATTAGAATATCACATAAAAACTTACAATATCGTTTCAGAATGCATTTTGATTCCCTGTTTTAAAGATTCCTCGTATTTACGTTCTTTTTCAACCAGATCCAGATGTTTAGTAGAGAAAATTTTTTCAATATTGTAAAAGTAGCTCTGCAGTTGCTTATATTGTTGACTGAGACAGATCGTTGTCGACGTAACGATAGCATGGGCGGTACAGGATCGACAAGCTAAGACCAAACAGATGATGAAGCTGAAGGCTCTGACTGTGTTTGCCGTCGTGCTGGTATTGCTGAGCTCTGGCCACGCCATTATTACTGTGGTAAAGGACATACCTGAAAAGAAAATCTGCTAGCCTAAATTATTTTTAAAACTGCAAAATTTTTCAACACATGCTAAATTTATTTTGTTGTTGACCAAGTTTTAATAAAAAATACACACTTCTGTATTTTTCTTTTAGACTTCTGTATTTGACGTGTTTAAAATATAAATAAAATTGTTTTAAAAAATGAACTTAAAATCCGCCTGTTGGGAAGTGGATGCTATGGCTCAGACATCTACATCTTTTTATCTTTGAAAAAGAATCAAAATTCATATGAACTGTCTCCTTTAGGGACTAAAAGGAATGCCTCGTTTCCAGTAAAAAGGGTTCTCTATACTGACCCTACGGATCCCACCAGCATTAAGCTGCTATTTCACACTGGTATTCTCTAAGGACGTGGCCCCTTTCCGGTCGAGCCGACCTATTTGTGCCGCAGACATGATATAGCTAGCTTAACTAGGTATATGTATAATGATTTCTTAAATTTACGTGGACACTACACATTGAATAAAACTAAATTTACAGATTCTATCGCGTTTATTTAACTGATTTTACTTATTTTTAATTCCCGACGTTTCGGGTGCTTTACAGCAACCATGGTCACGGAGCGGGACGTGGACGTGAAGCACCGACGCTCCGGGAAGTCTGCAGTCTGTGAACGTGTTCAAGATCGTCCCCACCATAACATCAGATTTGATAAATCACAAATCCTCGCAAAAGAACACCGATTCATGCCAAGGATGATACACGAGGCTATTGAAATTAAAAAAACATCCTAATTTCAATAGAGAAGATGGTTGGGTGCTGCCATCTGCTTGGGATCCTATAATTAATAAAATTAAACCCAAACCCAAGCATACCACTGCAAGACTTCAAGATACTGTAAGTTCGTTTTGCGTAAATCGGAGCAAAAATTAATATTCAAAAACTGAAGGTAGCCGGGCTAACAATGACATTGGGACGTCAAACATCTCAGTCCCCCCCGTGACCATGGTTGCTGTAAAGCACTCGAAACGTCGGGAATTAAAAATAAGTAATGTTACGAGCTTGAGGTTCGTGACAATAAAAATTGCCGATAAAATTACCTAAATTAACACTTTAATTTACTTTACACAAATTAAAACTTAAAACACTAATAATTAAACACACTAATTCACTTTATTCCGCTCCGAAGCTTCGCTTGTCTTGCCAAATACAATACTGCCTCGATCGCATCTTGCAGCGCCTATTTATATAAATTAGCAAAGAAGCATCCGGAATATTCAAGTAAATGCGCGCAAAGGGACGAGTGTGCGAGTGTAGATTTTCTAGAAACTTAGTTCTTCGGATGGCGCTGTCGGTTGAGTGATTTGTGATGTCATTTTCTCAATGCTCCCCCTCGCTCTCGTTCCTGACACTAGATGGCGCTAGTGTATCGTCGACTTGAGCGCGTAACATTGCCCCCTACTAAGACATGCTCGTCCCGAGCATTATCGGCCCCATAATAACGCGCCAAGCGATCCACATGGACGATCTTAGGAGTCCCTCTTGCGCCTTTCTGTAACGGCTCCGCAATATCAAGGGCTGTCCTATCCCGTGGTGCACCAACATTGTACAATTTCGGTGCTCCTCTACTACGTGTTTGAGGTCCCCGCACGGCCGCACAACTTGTACATGTACGACACCAATCCTCGACATCGTCACGATAATGGACCCAGTAAAACTGTTCTCGGACCTTCAGTAGAGTTCGTTTAACTCCCAGATGGAATCTTGAACACCCATTATGGTACAGCTGTAGAACATTCGGCATTTTAGCTTTAGGGACAACCATTTGCAAACGACAGCTGTCTCTTCGACCATTGTCCCATTTACGGCACAGGACTCCATCCTGAATCAGCAAGCTGTCCCATTGGGCCCAATAGCTTTTCGTGGTTGAACTCATCGCTGAGACGTCCCTCCACTTAGGCTTGGTAGCACGGGCCTTCATCCATCCCAGAATCGGCTTGATGTCCGGATCTTCCTGCTGTGCATGTCGTAGGCTGTCCTTCCACCCGTTGCTGAGGTGGTCTGTCCTGAGCATCCTCACGGATACCACTTCCTTACTCTCTTGCCTACTACAATGGTTGCAATCTTCAGGACAAGGTCTTCTTGTCAATGCATCTGCGTTGCCGTGAGATTTCCCGCTGCAGTGTCTGATAGTAAAGTCGTATTCCTGCTGCTGCTGGGCGGTGCTGTTAGCCGCACTTCCTTTCTGAGACCGTTCACCTTCCCTTCCTAGGGTGTGCTTAGGGCAGCTGGACCGAAGATGGCCCCTTTCCCCACAGCCATAGCACCTAGGGCTGTATCTTTTATTGTGGTCGCGAACCGTAACTGCTGTAACCTCCCTAGCGTGAGGTGAACGATGATCCTGTCGCCGCCAGGCAGTGCCGTTAGCTGCACTACCCCCTCGAGATCGATCAACTCTCCTTTCCACGGTTCGTTTAGGGCAGCTGGATGGAAGATGGCCCTTTTCCCCACAGCCATAGCACCTAGGGCTGTATCCTTTGCTGCGGTCACGGACTGTAGCGGCTGCAACCTCCCTGACGCGATGGGAACGATGATCCTGCCGCACGGCTTCCACCTCCAGTGCATGGGCCAAGGCGTTCTTAAGCGTCTCGTGGTGCCCGAGCCTCACAGCAGCTCTGACTTCCAGGTCGCGGGTGCCGTCGATGAATGTCTGCACCAGGGTCCCTTCAATGAGCGCAAGTACAGACCGGTATGCTTTCCGCACCAGCTTCTCCACCTCTAGAGCCCACTGCTGCAGGTTTTCGTTGATGCACTGCACGTGTTCCAGGTGAGCGTCGCCATATCTCGCCTCCAATGCCTCAAGGAGTTGCTCATAAGTCACTTCCTCACCGAGAGCTTCCAGAACTGTTAAGGCCTGGTCGCGCAGGCCTAGTGCGAGAGCAGTCATGGCCTGACTTTTATTCCAGCCGTTCGCCTTCGTAACAGCCTCGAACTGGATTTTGTAGGCTGACCAGGAAGAAGTCCCGTCAAACGGTGGCACCTTGAACCCACGTAGCGAAGGTGCTGAAGCTACCACGGGAGCTGTGGTTCCATCCCCAAGTTTGAGTTCATCCAGCGTTTTCTTAACTTGGTTGATTTGGGTCTCAGCTTCCGACAGGCGTTTATCATGTTGAGCAACCTTATCCTTCACCTCCCTTATCTCTTTCCCGAAGGTAGCCTGAAGGTCCTTCATGAGAAGCATCTGTTCTTCCTGGCCGCCCCGCAGCTGCTCTTCCAACCGACGGACCTGTTCCTCCTGTCGGCGAGCCTGTTCCTCCTGCTGCTCTTTCAACAGACGGGCCTGTTCCTCTCGTCCGCGCTGCAGCTGCTCCTGTAGCATCGCCATCAGAGCACCTAAGTCAGGTGCTGCAGGTGTAGGAGCTACTGACGGGCCCGCAGCCTCCGTGGCTGGCAGTTGGCCCTCCGACGTCTGCGGCGTTGCACCACCAAGTCTCCTCTGGTCCGTCTTATGCTGGCGTTGACTGCGGGTAGGGACACCCTCCGTTTCCTCCTTAGGTAAAATCGGCATAATTTTATCCCACTTCTGACACCAATTGTTACGAGCTTGAGGTTCGTGACAATAAAAATTGCCGATAAAATTACCTAAATTAACACTTTAATTTACTTTACACAAATTAAAACTTAAAACACTAATAATTAAACACACTAATTCACTTTATTCCGCTCCGAAGCTTCGCTTGTCTTGCCAAATACAATACTGCCTCGATCGCATCTTGCAGCGCCTATTTATATAAATTAGCAAAGAAGCATCCGGAATATTCAAGTAAATGCGCGCAAAGGGACGAGTGTGCGAGTGTAGATTTTCTAGAAACTTAGTTCTTCGGATGGCGCTGTCGGTTGAGTGATTTGTGATGTCATTTTCTCAATGCTCCCCTCGCTCTCGTTCCTGACACTAGATGGCGCTAGTGTATCGTCGACTTGAGCGCGTAACAGTAAAATCAGTTAAATAAACGCGATAGAATCCGTAAATTTAGTTTTATTCAATAGGTATATTGTATATAAAGTAGCTATTAACAATATGTTTAATACTAGTATTTTTTATAACATAATATTTTATTTTTATTTTTGGCACATATCACATTATTTCTACACGTCCCAGCTCGATTTGGAGAGAATGCTAAAAGTTATTAACTAATCCCTGTTATTATTAGTAATCATTTTACTAAGGTTTGTTACAATAAGGTATAAATAAATAAATAAGATAAAGTTACAATGTATAAATATGAAATGTACCAGATTTAATCACTTGAATCACACCATTAAAGGCGTAAAAGGCGAGGGTCATAACAGTAAGGAATATATTCGCTATGCACAACAACTTAGCTTTCTTCAACATTTGCCGTTCTACTGTGAGATCATTGTAAATCTCTTTCAACGAAACGCATAAGTGAAATGTGACTCCTTTTACTTTATCTTCGTAGTGAGCTACCGTCGCCCAAATAACGTACATCAATGGATGAACCGTGGTAAAAATTATCCTGTCATATTTTTGCTTCTCCGTCAGATTATGCTGGGTGAAAAATGCACCAATTTCTGAGAGAATTAATATCCAGAAACAGAACGTGGCACATCTCGTCATTATTGTGAAAAGGCTAGTGGTAAAAAAACGCGGCATTTCGACATTTTTAATCCAGAGATTTGGTAATCCTGTTACGATCGCGACTTTGTTGATCTTGTAAAAGAAATC